TTGTTAAAGGAACCAAAACCCCAAAACCCCAAAACCCCGTACGCCATTTATTTAAACAAATTTGAGTTATTCATTTTTTTAATTTCATATCGATTTTAGGAATTGTGATTTAATAATTTGGCCCATTAACTTTCCAATCGAAGAGGCTTTATTATAAAATGGAAAAATTTAAATATAAGCTTCGTCTTAAGCTACAAAATCTTATTTTTCAAATGCATTCGCTACTAAATATCAATCCTATAGTCACTTCTATCATGCTAGGCCTTGATTATTTATCATAGATGATATTCATAACTTATTCAAGAATACTTGAGATAGGCAACTATGAAGATGGCTTTCTTATGACTAAGATAAATGTAGAGACTTTTGTAAATATTGACTTATATAAAGATGAAGTTGACATAACAACAAACTCCATAATTTCTTTAACTTTCTTATACTTTTTGTATCTATTACTTACAACTAATACAGAAAAATCTAGATTACCTAGCTAAGCTTGGCAACTATAACTTCTTCTAATGTTGTGCTTTAGCTTTCATACTATATTTTCAATGGTGATTATTAGTATTCAACTGATTAATATTTAATGTCCGTCTCCATTACCGGATTTTTCATGCTTAGCACCAGATACAATTGGATCTCCATTATTTTGCATTATTGGAGCTCTACTAATGCTACTCAATAGTTATTTCATAGAGAGCATTTACAACTTTCAATTTATAAGTTTAAAAGGAGATTCGGGGATACTTTCAAATTATAAACCATTTGCTATTTTTCCAATGTTAATGAAATATGTGAGCTTTGGAATTTACCTATCTCCCCTCTCAAATTCAACAACAGCAATTTACTTTATTTTGATTGCACTTGTCAACATTATTCAGCTGTACATTAAGTTTAACTACTCATTTAACTTTTCAAGAATTATGTGTGAAGTCGATGTATGTGGATAGGCAATCTGCACCTACAACTATTGCCTTTGTGTCCTATTAAGTACCTTTAACTATAAAACCACGAATGGAGATTTCATCCTTGCTTTCTTAATGAATTTCGTTCTCGCGTACATTGTTGTAATGGTGAGGCGCAGTAATTGGAATTCTAAGCTTTATAAGAACTTGCTAGACATTAAAAGCATGCAAGGCTAGGAAATCTTTGTGTATCGAATGATAGAATGTATATAAAGATATTCCTTTGAGGATCAATTAGTTCTTAACGGATTTCTTAAGTATCATAAACTAACTTGCTCTCACAAAAAATGCCTTTGCAAATTTGGAAAACTTATAGCATCTGATATTGATATGGAATAAAGAGACTTGCTAATCAAGATGAAATTTCAAGGAATAGATGAGGGATTAGATTTTAAAAAAGGACAAGGTTAAGCTAGTTATTTAGACTAAAATAAAATTTCTCCTGGTAAATATAACAGTACCTCCGTGGGATTTAACAATCGAGAGTCATAGATTAATTTAGACTAAATTGATCACTAAAATATATAGAATGCTTAACAAGAGTAATACGTAATAGATTATCAGCAATTATTGAGGAAACCCTAAAATGTGAGATATCAGGGGATGTATGCATAAATAAAATCATCTAAACAGATATAGCTCATGAATCTCCTGTGTAATTGGTTAGAGATTCTATATGTAGAACAGGGTTAAAAGAGAGCTAAGATACTTGAAGGATTTATCTAGTCAAAGATAGCTGGAAAAGACATCTATGCTTTATTTATATTATCTGTCATCTCTCAAGATAGTCTTAACTTTTAAGAAAGTACAGCTATATTTTGCTACCAAAAAATAATAAATGACTAGGTTAATAATAAATTGAGTAAATTAACAAAGACCTCCTTAAATGTATTGGATATCCAAAAATAAGTTTAATTTGAGCATAAAATGGCCAGATTTTATCATCACATAGACTAATCGATTCTAAAAGTCTAAGGTATTTGGAGTACCCTTAATAAAAATTATGAAGGAAGTTTGAGTAAAGATGAACTTAAGAGTGGCGGGAATTTAAACCTGGACATTTAGTAAATTGCAGGCTAAAATCAAAATTAACAGTAAAATCAAGATAACGTAACGTCATCAGAGTTTGCTTAACTTTATAAAGATCTTGTAAGCATGACAAATTAAGCTTAGAAAGTCCTAGACAAGTATAATTCCATCCGAGAATTAATGCCTAACTATATCTAAGTTATACTCTGTTACGATATATTTATTAGACAAGTGATAAACTATGAGTATGATTCTATAAAGCTCTAACAGTTGATCAATGCTTTGAAATAAAAACGTAAAATTATGAATAGCAGTTAGTAGTCACTGGATCTATTTGATATGAACTAAAAAATTGGTGTAATAGTTATAAGTGGACTTGAGAAATAACTTGGTAAGATGAAACTAGTCAACTTGGAAGTAACAAACATCACAGGTCACAAGATTAGCAGACTAATTAACAGCAATGTATCAGTAATACTCCCTGATGAAATAAATGAGACCATTCATAATAAATTTATCAGCAAATTTCTTACGAGGAAGCCTAAATCAACCTACATAAATTAGCCTCAAATTCTTTGGGTTAAGAGAACTAATGGCTTCATTCTTCCAATCAACTTTATCGTTTAGCCTTTCTTTGATTAGCTCTAGGGTTTATAGTTCATAGCCTTCATGAAAACATTTAAAGAATCACCTTATGAGAATGTCCTATCAAAAAACTATAGTGAAGACTATTTTACAATTTTAAGTGATCGGAATGGAAAAATAATAGGAAGTTCAGAGAATTTTGCTAATATATTTAAGTACTAGAATATATCTGAACTTAAGTACCAAGATTTTAACATCTTTGATATGGGGCCAGAAATACTTGGAATGCTGGACAATAGGAGTTCTAAAAATGAAAGAAAAGTCTACTTTAACGTGACAGATTAAACCACCCCTAATATTAACAATATAATTCAGCAAAGTCTTATAAGCTATAAGTTTGATATAAAAGAATAAGATACAGAATCTAAAACAAAACTATCATCTCATTTAAGCAGATAGACTTCAAAGGTAAGCGATGATGAGGGATAAGAATAAGATATTTCTCAAGGATATGATATCAGCCCCTCTAATAGATAAAATTTTTTATTCACAAGAATGAATACAACATCTGCTTATGTCAAGGCAGATCTAAGATTTCTAAATAAATGCTAGGAGCTTTCTATATGCGTGTTCTATGTGGCTTTGGATAAAAATAGTGGTATTAATTATACATAAAACAAAAATTTGATTATTGAACCTTCAACTATCTCACAATTAAATGCTGCTGAGCAGGACCATATTTCATATGAAGATAACAACAGTTAGTCTATGAGCTCTTAAACATCAAACTCAAACAATCTATAGCATTTGAAAAATTTGAAAGAAGATATTAATCAAGATGCCAAGCCTAAGCAAGTTGCTTTGCTTCAAAAGTATCTTCTACTCTACACTGTAGTATTTTTAACTCTTGCTATTACTGCTAATGTCTTGGCCAGGAATGAGGGAAAAACATTAATTAGTGACTTTAACCTGTATTCAAAATGCAAACACCTATTTGGAGATATTGTTGAACTTAGACAAGGCTTTCAAGATTATGTCCTATTAGTAAATAATGAAACAATCAAGCAGTTGTCAATAATAAAAGATAGAGTGCAATACTTAAAGTAAGATATGCAGGATGGGTTATAAACAATTAAGACTCTAGCTAATGAAATCGAATGAGACAGTACTTATTAGAAACTCTATCTAGAAGAAAGTGTCATCAGCAATAATATTTAGCTTGAAACATTAGACAATCAAGGAACCATAAAGTTTGTGGAAAATCCATTATATGTTTCAATAAATTAACTTATCAGTAGAACTCAATAGCACCTTACCTCAGATAATTCATAGTTAATTTGCAAAAATTGTTACTTTAGAGACAGTTTTGAGAAGAAGCTCAATTACACAGATTTCTTAGCTGACCTATATTTCATTAAAAAGAATAGTGTAGATGTAATAGGAACATAAATTTGGAAATTGGCTGGATTAATCCATGATAAGATCAATAGAGATTCCGATAGGATGATTAGCATATAGTTATACCTTAATGTTCCTGGTATGGTTTTCTCAATGATTGCTGGCTTTGTTTTTGTCCGATCAATGATAGGACTTCTCCAAAACAGAAAGAAGGCTATCATAATAGTTGGAAGAATAAGATAGAAAACAATAAAACTATGCTAGATCAATGTAGATTACGCAGAAAAGATGATTAGCAATCTTAAAAATGACAAAGACATGTATGCAGATATAAATGTATATAATGACTATTCTTCAGTAAAGAAACTTGATACGATTGAATAATATACTGATATGGATTTAAATTTGCCAGAAATACTTAATTCAACAATGAGAATGACAATGAGAAAACATTAAACCACCATGAGCATAAGACAGGATAGCGCTATTGCCGATTTAAATGTTTCATAAATGACTTTGCAAGAATTCTAGTTTTTTGAGGAAGGCTAAAATAAAGCTATGAACCAAAAACTAGAATTGAAAAGGCATCAAAGTGAACTGGAAAAATAGAAAAAGAGGGAAATTAAGAAAATGATTTTCAAAAGAATTGAAAAATCATTTAAGCAAGATAGACTTAGTGTATGGGTGAAACTAGTTCCTGCTTCTGTGGTTTTTTCAATCTTTTTTATCGTAATGTATCTGCTTGAGCTTACAGTGCTTGATGATACCTTATTCAATCTAAATCTGCTAAAAACTTTCGAAGAGAAGGAAAGCTGTTTGATAACTTTGTAGCAGTTCACATTAGACACAATTATTGAAAACAAAACTTCTCCTGTTATTTTCATCAATTCAAACTATGATGGATTATTCTAATTCTGCTAGGATATTTTAGTCTAATCAAATTTGCCAAGAAAGAAAAAAAATTCTCAAGGCTATTAAATTTCAGATATACTTTAATAAGCTGAAAATGAAGGAGTTTGTGAAATTATTGATGAATTTATGCAAAAGTAGTAGAAATTCTAAAGTTTTTAAAAGTGTGATGATATTTTATTTGGAGTTTTAAAAAAAGGAATGTAGCAATCCTATTCTTAGATGCTTAAAGTTTTCAGATCAATAAATATCAATTACCATAGCTCAAATAAGACTTAATAGACTCTTTAGGATTTAATAGCAGATAGAGAGTTTAATTCTAATTCTTTGACTCTTAGAGCATATTTAAGAGATCTTTAAGTATATATTTCTACCAGAATACATGACAGAATGGATAATTTTTATGAGTCTATAGCTCTAAGAAACACTATAATATTTGTTATTTTCGTCTGTCTTCTGATAATCATTATACTTTTGCTTTTGTTTAAAATTGTTTAGTTTACTAAAATGGAAATTTTGTATCACAGGAAAATAGTAAAGTTTATACCAATAACTGAGCTAGAAAGAAGATCTATTTCTAATCTTTTAAAAACTTTTGATTATTGATTAAAACAATTAGATACAATATGTTTACTGATAGAATTTTATGAAATTTATTTATAATTAAAACTATTACTGATTAAATCCTTTTTTACGTCATGGGGTTTTGGGGTTTTGGGGTTTTGGGG